TCCTGCTGACTTTTGCTGGCTTCCAAGGAGGAAAGGGGAGGGGCCGGAGGGGTTAATGGTAACTGTGAACAACGGCTATCAAACCAAGCCAAAATCTGTGACTATTATATGCCCCATAGCCAGGTTTTTTCCAGAAATGGGATCAACACCTGAGCAGTATCTTCCTGCCATGTTTTTCCTATCCCCCCCCCCCCCCGACACCCAAAAAACAGCCTTCATCTTGCTCCCTTCCTGCGAACCTAGCTGTTTGGTCTAGAAGTCTTCACTCCTTCCTGATTATTATCCGGACTTCGCCTCATTCCACTTTGACTTGGACCCTCCCCTTCCACTTCCCCCTCCCAGTCAGGCCCCGCAGCGGCTCCCTGGCGCAGGCATCTGGAAGATGACCTTGAAGAGGTCTCATTCTTTGCCCTTCCGCCCCTCTCCTACAGGAGAACTGGAGGTGGCCAATAAGGAGCTCCGTACGGTCATCAAAAAGATCTGGAAGCGGACCAAGCCCAAGCTGCTGAACGAGGTGATACCCCCACCAGAAGGTCAGTGCCTCTTTGTCCTAGGGGGTGAGCCCCGTTCCCTTCCCGGACACAGAAACCGAACCCGGGTGTCTAGGCTCCAAGAGGCAGCTGAAGATAGTTTTACTGAGGACTGCATTTGATTGATGTCATTTTTATTTATTGGCCGTCCTGAGATTCTAAAATTGCAGTCTTTTCAGTGCTTTTAATAATTTAATAATTATTGTTTTATTTATGTTGTCATACATCTTGAGTTACACAAAGTAGAAAGGCCGCTGTGGCTCAGTGGAAGAGCCTCTGCTTGGCATGCAGAAGGTCCCAGGTTCAATCCCCAGCATCTCCAGCTAAAAGGACCAGGCAGGAGGTGATAAGAGAGACCTTGATCTGAGACCCTGGCACAGTGGCAGAGGCTCTGCTTGGCATGCAGAAGGTCCCAGGTTCAATCCCCGGCATCTCCAGTGAAAAGGACCAGGCAGGAAGTGATGAGACAGACCTTGACCTGAGACCCTGGCTCAGTGGCAGAGCCTCTGCTTAGCATGCAGAAGGTCCCAGGTTCAGTCCCCGGCCTCTCCAGTCAAAAGGACCAGGCAGGAGGTGATGAGAAAGACCTTGACCTGAGACCCTGGCTCAGTGGCAGAGCCTCTGCTTAGCATGCAGAAGGTCCCAGGTTCAGTACCCGGCCTCTCTAGTCAAAAGAACCTTGCAGGAGGTTATGAGAAAGACCTTGACCTGAGACCCTGGCTCAGTGGCAGAGCCTCTGCTTAGCATGCAGAAGGTCCCAGGTTCAGTCCCCGGCCTCTCCAGTCAAAAGGACCAGGCAGGAGGTGATGTGAAGGACCTCTGCTGGAGACCCTGGAGAGCTGCTGCCAGTCTGAGCTGACAGTCCTGACAGTGATGGACCAAGGCACCTTCACGTGTGTTCCTGGGTGCTCAGGCTATAGTTGCTTGCCACAAGACTCTTTTGTGGGAAACGATTTAAATAAATAAAATCAACAAAGAGTCTTAAAATGCCACTAGATTGGAGTTCATTTTGGCCTGATAGGTATCTGCTGGGCCTCCCCAACTTTGTATGAAGTCCTCAAATGAAGTGGGAGCAGTGAATTGGGCATAAGGCAGAGGTCATCTTTCGAAGGGCTGAGAAATACTTAGCCGTGACAAGAATAGCCACATTAGGCTGCCAGCCTTGCAGCTCCACTGCCGAGCCCTATGAGGGGCCCGGCGGTGGACCTGCAAGGCCAGCGGGAGTGCGAGGAAGCCCCGCGAAGGCCCTCCCTGGCCCCAGGCAGGCAGGGGTGGGGAGAGGCAGGGAGGAAGCAACTTACCCTCCCTCTTCTCCTGCCTCCTCCTGGCTGAATGAGGACCGGAAGCGGGGCGGCCGGAAGCAGGGGGCGGGGCTTCGTCATGTGCCCCGCCCCCCGTAGCTCACCCGGGGGAACTGCGATCCCCCGCGATCCCCCCCGAAATGACCTCTGCTCCTTGCCTTTTAAAAATGAGCACACTTCTTCCACGAGGCTTACAATACCACGAATGGAATAAGCAGACAGTGCCTCCCAATTATCCATTTCCGTCTCCCTTGGCAGAGGAGGAGGTCACCGTCGGCAAGTTCTACGCCACGTTCCTGATCCAGGATTACTTCCGGAAGTTCCGGAAGCGGAAGGAGAGGGGGCTGCTGGGGCCAGATGGGCCCCCAAGCAACTCTTCTGCTCTGCAGGTGTGTTCCCTCCCTTACCTTTGCATGGCCTTCCCAGCTGATCTGGAGACGGGGGGAAGCGGTGGGGAATAAGCCGCCCTGAGCCGCTTCGGCGGGAGGGACAGATAGAAATCTAATGAATAAATAAATACCGGGCTGGCTGATGGAGTCGCTCTGCCCTCTTTCTCCCAACGCAGGCTGGGCTGAAAACTTTACAAGACCTGGGGCCTGAAATCCGCCGGGCGATATCCTGTGACCTGGAAGGGGAAGAAGAAGAGGAAGCAGAGGAGACGGTGTGCGAAGAGGAGACCGTGACCTACAAGGTGAGTTTTCCTCTTAGTTCTTGGGGCCAAAGTCTGTACGGCGCTGAGTCAAACTCTTGTATCTTTCCCCCCCTGCCATCCGGGTTAGGATCGCAAAGGGAACTTGGTTCTTCTTTTTTCTCCTAAGAAGGGGGGCACGGAGAGACTGGGGGTGGAGCATTTATTCAGCATTGGCGCTGGGTCAAGCTAGAGGATCACAAACATTCTTCAGCGGAATTTCAGTGAATGAATTGTCTTCCCATTCAGAGTGCAATGGATTACCAAATCTGAGGTGGAGTGGGGGGGGGAGGATTGCTAATGCCTGCCAGGTGTGTGAGTTACTCTGTGACATTCTGAGCCGGCCAGCGTGTGCAAGCAAAGAGCAACAGTCGCCAGAGGAAGTCAAGAGGAAGGTGGGCAGAACCTTCCAGTCGGTCTGTTGCTTTTCTCTTTGTTGTGATTGAACTTAGGTCCTTTCTGCACTAGACCTTAAATCCTGGTTCAACCCTGTCCCCGAACTTACATTCTACACTACACGCGAGTTCACCTCTGAAATTATCTTGGGGTTATTTTTACATTCTACACTACACTCGAGTTCACCCCCGTAATTATCTTGGGGTATTTTTTGCTTCTACATTACATTGAGGCCCCACACTTGTCCCAGGATAAACAGATGCTGTTATAACCAGGGGTAAACGCAAGGTATTGTGTCGCGAGTTGAACTCTGGTAAAACCAGGGATGAGGTCCAAGTCCAGAAAGGACCTTAGAGACCAACAAGATTTTGGGGGTATCAGCTTTCTAGAGTCAAATCTTCCTTTGGTCCTTTCCGTACTTGGATCTCACCCCTGGTTTTATCAGAGTTCAACCCGCAACACAATACCTTGCTTTTATCCCTGGTTATAACAGCATCCGTTTATCCTGGGACAAGTGTGGGGCAAAACCGGGGTGACCTCAATGTAATGTGGAAACAAAAAAATCCCCCGAGATAATTACGGGGTGAACTCGAGTATAGTGTAGAATGTAAGTTGAAGGACAGGGTTGAACCAGGATTTAAGGTCTAGTGCGGAAAGGACCATCTAACAGCATCCGTTATCCCGGGACAAGTGTGGGGCAAAACCGGGGTGACCTCAATGTAATGTGGAAACAAAAAAATCCCCCGAGATAATTACGGGGTGAACTCGAGTATAGTGTAGAATGTAAGTTGAAGGACAGGGTTGAACCAGGATTTAAGGTCTAGTGCGGAAAGGACCATCTAACAGCATCCGTTATCCCGGGACAAGTGTGGGGCAAAACCGGGGTGACCTCAATGTAATGTGGAAACAAAAAAATCCCCCGAGATAATTACGGGGTGAACTCGAGTATAGTGTAGAATGTAAGTTGAAGGACAGGGTTGAACCAGGATTTAAGGTCTAGTGCGGAAAGGACCATCTAACAGCATCCGTTATCCCGGGACAAGTGTGGGGCAAAACCGGGGTGACCTCAATGTAATGTGGAAACAAAAAAATCCCCCGAGATAATTACGGGGTGAACTCGAGTATAGTGTAGAATGTAAAAATCCCCTGAGATAATTACAGGGGTGGACTCGAGTGTAGTGTAGAATGCAAAAATACCCCGAGATCATTACAGGGGTGAACTCGAGTATAGTGTAGAATGTAAGTTGAAGGACAGGGTTGAACCAGGATTTAAGGTCTAGTGCGGAAAGGACCATCTAACAGCATCCGTTATCCCGGGACAAGTGTGGGGCAAAACCGGGGTGACCTCAATGTAATGTGGAAACAAAAAAATACCCCGAGACAATTACACGGGTGAACTCGAATGTAGTGTAGAATTTAAAAATACCTTGAGATAATAGTGCGGAAAGGACCTTTGTCAGCTGATCCTGGGAGCTGACACACCGGAAACCTTGTCAGTCTTTAAGGTGCGACTGGACTCGAATCCAGCTCTTCTGCCGCAGACCAGCACGGCTGCCTCCCTCCGAGACGATCTTGATTGAGCTTGTCGCTGTCATTGGTTCAAACTGACTGATGCCAAATAATGTACATGAAGTGTCAGAACAATATTCTATTCTAAGAGATAGTGGCGGAGCTGCAAAATGTATCTAACAAACCACAGTGTTTTGGGGGGGTTTTAAGCGTGCTTTTGCATAGAAATTGGAAGGTCGTGTGTTGTTTTCAAGCCAGGCAAACCCTGGTTTTTTTTAATATGTTCCTTAAACCTGCTTCTCAGGCAACATAGAACAAAATGCAAATCTGAAAGGTTGCTGCTTGCCAGTTCCCTCTCTGTTTCTCCCTCCCTGCTGCTCCTTGCTCAAAATGGAGAGGGCTGCTAGTGAGCTGCTGAGGGAGCAGATGCAGAGGCAATATGTTCTTTCGTGTTGTCAAGGCTCAGAGACTGTGAGGCTGGTTGCGAGATACTGGGGGGGGGGAACGGTCTGAAGATCCTAAATGTGCTTCTGACTTCATATTGCTCCAATTCTGTGGAAGAAGAAGAAGAAGAAGAAGAAGAAGAAGAAGAAGAAGAAGAAGAAGAAGAAGAAGAAGAAGAAGAAGAAGAAGAAGAAGAAGAAGAAGAAGAAGAAGAAGAGATGGGATTCATACCCCGCCCTTCACTCGGAGTCTCAGAGCAGCTTACAAACTCCTTTCCCTCCCCCTCCCCACCACAGACACCCTGTGAGGTAGGTGGGGCTGAGAGAGCTCTTTCCAGAACTGCTCTTGAGAGAACAGCTCTGAGAGAACTTGTAACTGGCCCAAGGTCATCCAGCAGCTGCAAGTGGAGGAGTGGGGGATCAAACCCGGTTCTCCCAGATTAGAGTCCGCGCACTTCACCACTACACCAAACTGGCTTCACCAGCTACCAGTTAGTCTCCAGATCCAATTCAAGGTGTCGGCATTAACCTTTAAAGCCCTTAACGGTCTGGGACCCTCATACCTACGGGACTGCCTCTCCCGTTACAACCCCCCGTGCTCCCTTTAGGTCATTGTCTAGGGCAGGGGGTGTCAAACTCATTTGTTACAATGGCCAGATCTGACATAAATGAGACCTTGTTGGGCCGAGCCATGTGCGTCATAAAATGTAATGCCAGGTAGCAGAGATATAAACTTCATAAAGGACACAAACACAAAGGGTTTTTTTTTACTTAAAATAAATACATGCTTAAAACATTAGTTTGGTACGCTGCAAACCTACTTTTGATTTATGGACATTCACCAAAGAAATCTCGTGCTCAGAGTTCTGAGTCTAGGACCCAGGTGAAAACATGAAATGGCTGAGCGATTAAGAGAGCCTGGCGAAGCAAGCTACGATGCAGCAGCAGCAGCAGAACTGGAAGCGGGAGATGGCCAGTTCCACTGTGGGCCTGATGGAAGCCCTCCGGGGGCCTGACCCGGCCCCCGGGCCGCATGTTTGACACCCCTAGACTCTAGGGGCCTCTTGTAGGTGCCTGGCCCCAGGATGGCTTGATTAGCTGTCACCAGGGGAAGGACCTCCTCAGTTGTGGCCCTATGCTGTGGAATACACTCTTGAATACACCGAAGGAGGAGGAGGAGGAGGAGGAGGAGGAGGAGGAGGAGACTGGATTTATTCTCTACCCTTCACAACCCGAAGGAGTCTCAGAGTGGCTGCAATCCCCTTTCCCTTCCGGTCCCCACAACAGACACCCTCGAGGACTGCCCTTGAGGGAACAGCTCCGAGAGAACTTGTGACTGGGATGCTCTGTATTCTTGGTGCTTGGGGTGGGGCGCAACAGTGGGAGGGCTCCTAGTGTCCTGGCCCCACTGGTGGACCTCCTGATGGCACCTGGTATTTTTGGCCACTGTGTGACAGAGTGTTGGACTGGATGGGCCTTTGGCCTGATCCAACATTGGCTTCTCTTATGTTCTTATAAGAGGGAATTGGATAAGCATATGGAGCAGAGGTCCATCAGTGGCTATGAGCCACAAGGTAGAGATAGGGTTAGGGATAAGAACGGATAAAAGGGAAGTCCTCCTTCGCCCAAAGAGTGATTAACACATGGAATTGACTGCCGCAGGAGCATGGACAGCTTCAAGAGGGAATTGGATAAACATCTGGAGCAGAGGTCCATCAGTGGCTATTAGCCACTAGGTATAGTTAGGAACTCTGGGGCAAGGGATGCTCTGTCTTCTTGGTGCCTGGGGGGGGGGGCAACAGTGGGAGGGCTTCTAATGTCCTGGCCCCACTGCTGGACCTCCTGAGGGCACCTGGTATTTTTTGGCCACTGTGTGACACAGAGGGTTGGACTGGATGGGCCCTTGGCCTGATCCAGCACTGGCTTCTCTTATGTCCTTATGTTAGTTTGGCCCACAGATGAGGATTATCAGACTGCAGGGGAGACAGATTCTATGGAGCAATTTGGGCCAGTTATTGGGATATTTGGTTAATATAGCAGAGTTTTGCCCAGTCACAGAATTGTAAATAAATCTCCCAAGAAGTATACCGAGGGGGGAAAAAGATAAAATTTACATCTATTCAAGTAGATCCAGTTTATTTCATTAAAATCATTTCTATGCCCCCCACCACGTACCCTCCCCCCCACCCTGCCGTGCGGGACAGCGGTGTGGCCGGTAAGGGGGAGGGCTGTTATACCGCTATCTGGATCGGTTTTAAATTATATATCTACTGACTGTATTTTGAATAGTTTTACAATGGCTGTAAATCGGCCAGAGCCACCTTGCAGGGTGGGCGGTTCATAAAAAGACCTGGACCGGGAATTGCACGCCATGGCTGATTGGCTTAGGCTGAGTCAGCTGAAGCTGAACCCGGCGAAGACGGAGGTCCTGTGCCTGAGTCGGGGCAGTTCAGGGTTGGGGCTCCCGCTCCCGGCCTTCGATGGGGTGCCATTGGTGCCTGCGCCGGTGGTTAGGAGTCTGGGAGTGCTTCTGGAATCCTTGGCAATGTAGGCCCAGGTAGCAGCCACTGCTAGGTCGGCCTTCTACCATCTGCGGCTGGTCCGGCAGTTGGCTCCCTTCCTCGATCGCGCCGACCTGGCTACAGTGATCCATGCGCCGGTCACCTCGAGGCTAGACTAATGTAACGCTCTCTACATGGGGCTGCCCTTGGTGCAAATCCGGAGGCTGCAGCTAGTGCAGAACGCCACGGCCAGGCTGTTGATGTGTCTCCCTAGATGGGAGCACATCCAGCCGGTGCTGAAGGCCTTGCACTGGCTGCCAATAGCATACCAGATTAGCTTCAAGGTGCTGGTACTTACCTTTAAAGCCCTATATGGCCAGGGTCCGGCATACCCGAGGCACCGCCTTTCCCCATATATACCCCAGTGAGCACTGTGGTCGGGGACGCAACATCGACTGGTCATTCCAGGCCCCAGGGAGGCCAGGCTCGCGGCCACTAGAGCCAGGGCCTTCTCAGTGGCGGCTCCTTACTGGTGGAATGAGCTCCCAGAAGAGATCAGGGCCCTGCGGGATCTTATGCAGTTCCGCAGGGCCTGCAAGACAGAGCTCTTCCACCAGGCTTTTAACTTGGAGCCGCCCTCATTACCACCAACAGCCACCATTAATATCTGGGGTAGAGACTGGCTGTACTGAGGTAGAGTCAAACCGCTGGGAGCCAGTAGCTGTGGAGCTACATGATATGCTATGCCATCTTGGTGAACAACTACAGACTACATTTTATTCGATTGTTGATTGCTTAAATGTTTTTAAATGTTTTAACAGTGTTTTAAGTTTAAATGTGTTATATATGAATCTGGCATTGAGCCAGGCGGTGTGAGCCGCCCTGAGCCCGCTTGCGGGGAGGGCGGATTATAAATATAAGAAATAAATAAATAAATTTAATGAAATGAAATAAACAGTTCCCATTCAGGTTGCAGTCAAAGGAAGAGAAAAGAAGCCTAATCTAAAGAGTACGTTCCCTATCACAAACGGCCAGCTTGTCCAGCACTGTGTGAGAGAGTATGAGGGCATTTTCTCTACAGGAGAGACCTGCAGAGACATGCGTCTCCATGGAAGGCCATGTGCGGAAAGGGAGGGGGACAATGAAAGGCCATGTGTGGAGGAGGGAGAGGACAAAAAGAGAGTGTGAGGAGGGGGAGTCAGAGGCAATGGTCCCTCTAAGCTGTAGAGTCTTGTGAGCAAAAATTCTACTGCATAAATTACGTTTGCTCTGGAGCCATCCTTCCTGAGCTAAGACAAAAATCTGTGAGCCAGAGGCTAAAAAACTGTGAGCTAGCTCACACTAACTCAGCTTAGAGGGAACACTGGTCAGAGGGCAGCTCCCAGGTTAAGACAAAGAGCGGCATCCCGTTCAAGGAGATAACTTCTGTACACCCTGAGAGTGATGTAGTGCCCCCTCCCCGTGTCCAGTCGCTCACGCCAACACCAGTCGGTCCCTTCGGTGCTGGCAGTGCCACCGAAATCCCCTGGAGAGGACCACATCTGATAAAGCAAAACGATTTTTGGAGAAAGTTCAAGGACTACCAAAGGAAATATCAGCAGAAGAAGAGTCATCAAGAAGAAGGAGAATGCAGCTTGCGTGGCTCGAGGAGTTCAGAATCAGATACAACCAGTTCATCTGAAGAAGATTCCTCAGCAGAATTGGGAGAATCTGCACCCAAATTACCCAAAGGCAAAACTGACTTTGATAAAGATAAAAAGAAGGGAAGAAGAAACAAGAAGAGAATGTAACTGAGATATAAGCACTTGAAGGGATAATTATCTTGCTTACTTGCTTAGAGCAAATACTTATACTTTAAGCCTTTACTTACTGTTATAAACTGAAAAGAAGCTTCACTCACGTATGACTTAACATGAGAAACTTGAATAAGCGTTTATTACCAGCAATATATATAACTCCTGTTAGCCTTTCTTTTAGTAATGCTGTCCTATCACCTGTAGTTGGTTAGTGTGTACCCACCCTTTGTTTCTATGTAGTGTGTAGTATAAAAAACAATAAAAATTATATATATATAAAAAAGAGGACCACATCTGGAGAGCCACATCTGCTTCCTCTCCTTCCACAGAGCTCTGAAGCACTGTACAGCAGCGCTCCCGAGCGTGACCACCAGGCCTCAGCGACCGCAACGTCGCCAGACCAGGAGAACAAGACTCTGGCCAACGGCCTCGTGGGCTCTCGCAACCCCTCCAGCGCCAGCCTTTCCCACGTCACCAACGGGCCGACCCCATATGAGGAAAACGCCAGCGGCAACGACGAACCCGCCGAGCTGCCCACCCTCCCCACCCGGCGCCGGATGAGCAGGTGCGGGCCGCGGGGAGGGAAGGGCAGCGAGTGCGGGGCCGGGAGGGGTGCGGTTGGATGGTGAGGGCAGAAGCCAGGATCTCAGGGTCCCTTACGGCCACGTGGGTCTCTCCAGACGTAGCTCCGATGGCAGCGGCAACCCCCCGACAGCGCAAGAAGAAGCCACGCATTCGGAGGATTATGGGGAGGACACCTCAGCCGAGCAAGGATACTATAGTCGGGAGGAGGACTCTGAGAGCCTGGCCTCCCATGACAGGTAAGAACCCGGTCCTTTGACAAGGCAGCTTTGCACCGTGGCAGTATCGTAGCCAATGAGGTTAATCCGAGGCGCGATTATTGCTGATTGGAAACTCCCCTTCCCCCCCCCCCCAATAGCTAGCAATCCAAAACGGTCCAGTGGAGCCTGAGCGATGGGTGTTGCCTTCTCCCCCCCAAGTTTATTTATCAGTTTTAAACATAAAAATATCATTCCAATTATTTACAACTTTTACATTTTTTTGTCTACCTTTTTCATAGTCAGCCATTTATACACACTGGCCCATCTTTCCCAAAAAAACCAGTATCATCTTTTCCTTGTAGAATCAAGCTTAGTTTCTCCATTTCTGCTACCTCTAATATTTCGTTAACTACCTCATTTTTAGTGGGCAGTACATTTTGTTTCCAGTATTTGGCTAACATTATCCTGGCGGAAGTTAGAATATGAATTATCAGGTATTTGTCATTTAATTTATAACCTTCCGGTAAAATATTTAATAGCGCTATTTCCGGTGTCAATTCTATATTTCTATTCATTATTTCGACTATTATCTTCGGCACCATTTTCCAGTATTTTTTAATCCTACTACACCGCCACCACATATGAAAGAATATTCCAACATTTGTTTTACATTCCCAACAATCCTTATTTACCGATGGGGTGCATTTTGCTATCCTATCTGGCGACCAGTACCAACGATGCGTAACTTTATATTTATTTGTACCTTATAGCTCTCATATGATTAACCACTTGATGCATTGGCAATTTTTGACAGTCCTTTGACAAGGGTGTCCGTGCTGTAGGGTAGACCAGCTTTCGACACCGGTCCAATATGCGAGTTATGTCCCTATGTGCTGTCAGGTTGAAACTGATACGATACATTATCCATCTTCCAAGTATCTGAAGGGCTGTCGTGTAGAGGACGGAGCGGAATTGTTTGCTGTTGTCCCGGAAGGTCAGACCAGGGTTGATGGATTGAAATTAAATGAAAAGAGTTTTCGGTTAAGCATTAGGAAGAACTTCCTGACAGTTAGAGGGGTTTCTCAGTGGATCAGGCTTCCTCGGGAGGTGGCGGGCTCTCCTTCCCTGGAGGTTTTCAAGCAGAGGCTCGATGGCCATCGGACAGCAATGCTGATTCTGTGAAATTAGGCAGATCAGGAGGGCAGGAAGGGTGGCCTCAGCGCTTAGTTCTCATGGCCCTTCCTTAACGCGTCCATGGAAATGCTGATCGCCACTTTGGAGTCAGGAACAATGCTCCCTCTAAGCTGTGGAGTTTTGTGAGCAAAAATCCTACCTTTTGAGCTACCGGCATTAAAGTGGTGAGCGAGCGATTTGGCTACTGCATAAATTTAGTTTGCTCTGGAGCCATCCTTCCTGAGCTCAGACAAAAATGTGTGAGCTGGAGGCTAGAAAACTGTGAGCCAGCTCACACTAGCTCAGCTTAGAGGGAACACTGGTCAGGAAGCCATTTTCCTCCAGGCCAGTTTGGCCAGGGATCCTGGAGGTTTCTTGTCATCTTCTGGGCGTGGAACAGTGAGTGGTCACTGTGGGTGTGAGATATTTGTGAATTTCCTGCATTGTGCAGGGAGTTGGACTCTCTCTTCTGCTTCTTCTGAAGATGACCGTAATTGTCAGGTGGGTTCATAAGGGAGTACGTAATCCTTCAGGTATGTTGGTCCCAAACCTTATAGGGCTTTAAAGGTCAGACATTTTTGTTATCTTTCATTGAATCGATTCCTGTTCCTTATTTAGTGTTTTACGTCAGTCGCCCTGAGTGCCTTTAAAGTAGGAGGGTGGAATATAAAACAAATAATCACGTACGCATGGGGGCAAAAGGATCAAGGCGACCACATTCAGGCCGCGGGGATTTGTTTCCAGGACTGTCATTCGCTGACTCGCCCAGCGGTGTCTCTCTCCCATGCAGGCAGCCCAGCCTGAACAACCCTCGGCCCCACAACCGTCGCTGGGACAACGGCTATGGCGGATCGTTGCCCCTCCCCTCCCGGCATGCTAACAGCAGACTCGCCAATGGACTTCCGGAGAGCAGGCAAACCAAGCGCAGGCGCCTCCTGCCCGCCACCCCTACAGGTTGGAACAGTTGAAAAATTGGTGAAAATAGTTAGATATTCAGAGCTTGCAATGGATCTTTGTTCACTGGAGAGGAGGCATTTTCTTTCTATGTAAAAAGCTCTATTTCTAAAGGGAAGGGTACGCAGGAAACCTACAAAACAACAGACACTTAAGACTACATGCAACAACGGACAGACACAGATAGTAATGCAGGTTCTTCCTTTCTTCTTGACCCCTAGAAGGGAATCACCTGAATGCATTAACCAATGATTGTTAGTAAATAGGCTTCAGTTTCCCGGGCTTCCTTTCCATTGGCTTTGTGCCAGGTTCCCTTCCAGGTCAGGCTAAACAATGGCACTCAAGGTAAACACACATCAACCCTATGATGACTGAATTTAGACCTTGCAACACACATATTTCCAACAGGAACAGCAGGGCTTCTGGTTAGCTGGGCAAAGCAGAAGGGACCGGTAGGATCTGTCAGGTTAAAGCTGATGCGTCTAAGCAGCAGGACAGAATGGGAAAGCTTCCCCGGACTGTACCACTTCATGCCACAGGTGGCGCCATCACTAACACACACACACACACACACACACACAAAGCTAGCCTTGCATGTAGGATATATGGTGCGTGGGGGTGGAAAGTGACACAAGCTCACAGCCAACTTAAGGTGACCCTGGTAGGGTTTTCAAGGCAAGAGACATTCGGGGGTGGTTTGCCATTTCCTGCCTCTGCATAGCGACCCTGGGCTTCCTGAGTGGTCTCCCATCCAAGGGCTCACCAGGGCCGACCCTGCTTAGCTTCTGAGATCTGATGAGATCAGGCTAGCCGGGGCCATCCAGGTCAGGGCAAGAGATGAACAGGGGTGGCTTGCCCTTGCCTGCCTCTGCATAGCGACCCTGGGTTTCCCTGGCAGTCTCCCATCCAAGTACTAACCAGGGCCGACCCTGCTTAGCTTCTCAGATCTGACAAGATTGGGCTCGCCTGGGCCATCCAGGTCAAGACAAGAGACGGACAGAGCTGGGTTTGCCATTTCCTGCCTCTGCATAGCGACCCTGGGCTTCCTTGGCGGTCTCCCATCCAAGGACTAACCAGGACCAACCCTGCTTAGCTTCCGAGATCTGATGAGATCAGGCTAGCCTGGGCCGTCCAGGTCAGGGCTGTAGAATGCAGAACGAGTTATTAAATTCTCACCCGGTTCTTCCTTCAAGAAGCTCCGGGTAACCTCTGTCCTTCCACCCCGACCCGCATGTTATCCTCACAGTAACTGTGATATAGCTTACAGGCTCCCTCCCGACTCGCAGTCACGGGTTCCGGGAGGGGATTCGCCGGCCGTAGCTCTAGAGGCTTCTGGGCACTACCGAAGGGGGAGGAGGGCTTCAGACGTCCCTCCCAGGCTGCTTTTGGGTCCCACTTGGAGGGTCACCAGCTGTGCAAGCCGATGCTCCCTCTAAGCTGTGGGGTCCTGTGAGCAAAAATCCTGCTCTGTGAGCTACCGGCATTCAAGTTGTGAGTGCGCGATTGGGCCCCTGCATAAATTAGTCTGCTCTGGAGCCCCTCCTTCCTGAGCGAAGGCAGAAATGTGTGAGCCGGAGGCTAAGAAACGGTGAGCTGGCTCACACTGACTCAGCTTAGAGGGAACACTGGCCACAGGGTTGCTACGCAGAGGCAGGCCGTGGCGAACCGCCCTCTGAACGTCTCTCAGCTCGACCCGGATTGGCCCAAGCTAGTCCGACCTCATCCGATCTCAGAAGCCAAGTCGGTTCTGCCCTGGCCTGGATAATTGGATTGGAGACCCGCCCAAGGAAGCCCAGGGTTGCTCCGCAGAGGTCATTTCGTAGAAAAAGAGGTGCAGGAGCTCATTAGCATAACTCATTAGCATAATTTATTTGCATAGGCCACACCCCCTGACGTCACCGGATGTGTGTCAGAAGGCAACACCCACCGCTCAGGCTCCACTGGACTGTTTTGGATTGCTAGCTATTGGGGGTGGGGGGAGACACACAGGCAGATCTGGCCTCACAGAGGAGGGAGAGCTTGTACCTGAATAAAACTTGGTCTTAAAGGTGCCACTGGACTGTTTGGGGCCGGGGGGAACTCTGCAGCTTACCTGGCTGCTTCTTGCTCTGACTGAGGGCTGCTGGGAGCAGGGGGTGGGGCTTGTTGCATGTGCCCGCCCCCCTGGGCTCTTTACTGCCGGAGCTTCGCTCCTGTGCGCTCCTGCAGGAAGTGACCCCTGGTTGCTCCACAGAGGTAGGCCGTGGCAAACCACCCCTGAACCAAGGCTCCCTCTAAGCTGTGGAGTCTTGTGAGCAAACATCCTGCTCTATGAGCTCCTGGCATTAAAGTTGGGAGCGAGCGATTTGGCCCCTGCATAAATTAACGGAGCGCAGGCTAGACGGCCATCTATCGGGTATGTTGTGGGGCTGTCTTTCGGCTATGCTCCCGCAGAGTGCAGGGGGCTGGACGAGATGACCTGCAAGTTCCCTTCCAACTCTACATTCTATGATTCTATGAAATTAGTTCGCTCTGGAGCCACCCCTCCCTGAGCGAAGACAACAATCTGTGAGCCGGAGGCTAAAAAACTGTGAGCTGGTTCACACTAACTCGGCTTAGAGGGGACACTGGCTGCAAGCCCAAATGTCTCACGAGCAGACAGGAGAAGCAAGGGTGAGAGGACTCAGCTGCTCGGGGTGGGTGGGTGGGGGCTCTGGAGGATCCCCTCTCCTCCCCCACACTCTCACACTCCTTCCCCCCCCCCAAAGCAGAAGCCGCAGTATGCCCTAAATCCGGCATGCCCCCGCAGTCGGCACTCACGCACCATTGTGCTTAACTGTCGCTGCATCCTCACCTGCGGAACAGATGGTCGGTGGTGGGCTGGGGCGGGAGGAGCGTAAATTTAGACGCAGGATCCCAAGTTCAGAACATTTAAGAAACACCGAGGGAGAAGGCGGGCGGATGCGAATGGCAAACCGAAGATCGGTGGCTTTGGGGGAGCAGAGCGTGCCGGCAGGGGCAGATTCACCATGAAGCAGACCGGGCACGTGCTCAGGGCACCAGGGCCAAAGGGGGCACCGCAAAGTTGGGGAAAGGGTGGAAAGCTCCGTTCGTACAGCCTATTGTGTTATCCTATGAATAAGTTTTTGTATTGCTGCAACCTGCGTTGTCTATCTGGTCAGACAGGCCAACCACTACAATGGACGGGGGGTCCGTGTGGAAAGGGGGGGGGCACCGAGATTGGTCCGTGCCAAGGGCACCCGTGAGCCTTCATCCGCCCCTGTCTGCCGGCCACGTCCCCGGCCTCTCACGGCTTCTCTCTCGCTTCTTTCCCTCCTCCCCCGCCTCGACAGGCCGCAAGCCGACCTTCAGCATCCAGTGTCTGCAGCGCCAGGGCAGCTGTGATGACATCCCCATCCCAGGCACCTATCACCAGAACGCGCCCCCCTGCAGAGCACGCCCGCAGGTAACCCGCGAGCAGGTGTGTGCGCCGACAGGTCTCCCATGGAATCCTAAAAGGTCGGGCCAGAACCAACGGGTTGAAATTAAATCCGAAGAGCGTTTGGCTAAACACGAGGGAGAACTGGCCGACACAGCGATTCCACAGTGGAACGGGCCGGTTTGGCGTCGTGGTGAAGTGCGCGGACTCTAATCTGGGAGAGCCGGGTTTCATTCCCCACTCCTCCACTTGCACCTGCTGGATGACCTTGGGCAAGCCATAGTTCTGTCAGAGCTGTCCTTGAAAAAGAGCAGTTTCTGTCAGAGCTCTCTTAGCCCCACCTGCCTCACAGGGTGTCTGTGGTGGGGAGGGGAAGGGAAAGGAGTTTGTCAGCCGCTCTGAGGCTCCTTTGGGTAGTGAAGGGCGGGGTATAAATCCAATCTCTTCCCTTCTTTTCTTTCCAATTGGTACCAAATATCGAAAGCCAGTTTGGTGTGGTGGTGAGGAGCGCGGACTCTAATCTGGGAGAACTGGGTTTGATCCCCCCACTCCTCCACTTGCAGCTGCTGGATGACCTTGGGCAAGCCATAGTTCTGTCAGAGCTGTCCTTGAAAAAGAGTCGTTTCTGTCAAGAGCTCTCTCAGGCCCACCCGCCTCACAGGGTGTCTGTGGTGGGGAGGGGAAGGGAAAGGAGTTTGTCAGCCGCTCTGAGGCTCCTTTGGGTAGTGAAGGGCGGGGTATAAATCCAATCTCTTCTTCTTCTTCCTTGGGAGGTGGTGGGCTCTCCTCTTTTGGAGGTTTTTAAGCAGAGGCAAGATGGCTGTCTGGCAGCCATGCGGATTCTGTGAACTTGGGCAGATCGTGAGAGGGAGGGCAGGGAGGGTTGCCTCAGGGCTTAGTTCTCCGTGGCCCTTTCTTACACGCCCAGGGAAATGCCGATCGCCACTTTGGGGTCAGGAAGCAATATTTCTCCAGGCCAGTTTGGCCAGGGATCCTGGAGGTTTCTTGTCATCTTCTGGGCAAGGAACAGGGGGTCACTGAGGGTGTGGTAGATGAAGGTATTTGTGAATTCCCTGCCTTGTGCAGGGGGTTGGACTAGAGGACTCCGGAGGTCCCTCCCGACTCTATGATTCTATGAGAAAGGGACCCGTCAGTGCCTGTCCGAAAGCCATGCTCTGTGCCCCAGATCAGCAGAGGCTGGCTGTGGTTCCCCAGCCTTGTGGGAAAGGCACACTGCCCATGCTCCGAGACACTGTCCTGTTGCTGCTTCACGTAGCCTAGGGCTGCAGTCAGCCGCTGAACTCCGATTCAGAGCCCCGGACTTTGATGTGTCGTGACTCTGAAAACCTCTGTTCGTCTCAGCAGGCCGGCTGAAGTCAGAGCACAGAATGGCCCATTTTCCAGCGCCCCCTTTCCAGTCAAACACCTCCCCTCTTGTGAGCTGACTCTGCAGAACAGTGTGTTTCCTCGCTGCTGCGTCACTGTGAAAGGGACGTACCGTGCCGTTGTTTTTTTTCTGGCCGTACCTCGTCTCGGCCGTGCCCCTGGCCTGCTGAGTTTGCTGAATCAGGCGGCTGCCTGGCCTTTGCAGCTCGAGGAACAAACAGAACTGTCCACGCCACCAGGCCGTTGCACGGCTGCTCCACAGACCACACGTGAACATATGAAGCTGGCTGATATCAGGCCAGGCCGTCGAGCCTAAAATTCTGTACTCGGGTAGCTAGATATGAGTCCGGTAGCACCTTTGGGGCCAACAAGATTTTCGGGGTATAAGATATCAAGAACCAGCACTCCCTTCGTCAGATACTGGATCGTTGAATCTCGAAATCTTATACCCCAAAAATCTCGCTAAGTTTTGGAGAGTAGCTAGATATGAGATTTGAATAGTTGAGACCAACAAGATTTGAATAGTTGAATCTTGAAATCTTATACCCCCAAAATCTTATTGGTCTCTAAAGTGCTACTGTACTCATATCTAAGGAGCCACGGTGGCTCAGAGGTTAAGATGCTGAGCTGCAGACTGGAAGGTCTGTAGTTCGGCCGTTCGACACCCGAGTGCCGCGTGACAGAGTGGGCTCCCCTCTCTAGCAGTTCCCCTGCCAACCTAGCAGTTCGAAAGCAAGAAATTGCAAGTAGATAAATAGGTACCGCTTCGGTGGGAAGGTAACAGCGTTCCGTGCACCTCGGTGTTGAGTCATGCCGGCCACATGACCACGGAGAAGTCTCCGGACAGCGCTGGCTCTTCGGCTTGGAAACAGAGATGAGCACCACCCCCTAGAGTCAGATTCGACTGGCTTTTGAGCAAGGGAAGCCTTTACCCTTTTTACTCATCTCTATCTGTCCTACTGCAGAGCAGCACAGCTACTCTCCAAAACGTAGCGAGCCATACGTCTCTCTGTAGAAGCTCCAGCCCCGGAGATAGCACGTCAATCGTTTCCAGACCGTGAGGAGCTTCTGAGCCAGCTTGGTGTAGTAGTTAGGAGCGCGGGCTCTAATCTGGGAGAACCGGGCTTGATTCCCCATTCCTCTACATGCAGCTGCTGGTGTGACCTTGGGTCAGTCACAAGTTCTCTCTGAGCTGTTTCTCTCATGAGCAGTCCTTGAAAGAGCTCTCTCAGCCCCGCCTACCTCACAGGGTGTCTGTTGTGGGGAGGGGGAGGAGATTGTAAGCCGCTCTGAGACTCCTTCGGGTAGTGAAAGGTGATGTATAAATCCAACCCCTTCTTCTTCTGAGGTTTTCCTCAATTAGAAGATGGTTTTCCGGTAGGTAGCCATGCTGGCCTGCCATAGAAGAGCAAGATCTGATTCCGGTAGCACCTGAAAGATCAACAAGATTTCCAGCGAGAGCAACAAGCTTTCCAGGGTATAAGGGTTTCGAGCGTCTGTGCTCCCTTCGTCAGATACCAGAGCGTTGACTCTCAAAAACTCATACCCCGAAAATCCCGTTGGTCTCTAAAGTGCAGCTGGACATGAATCCAGCTGTTCTTCTGTAGACCAACCTGGCTACCCTCGGAAACGATCGACTCAGGGCAGTCCTTCTGACTCCTGAGATCATACGTCGCTTGATTTTTTTATGGTGTCGTCACCTACCCCTGCTGGCTCGGGCTCTTCCACACGGTGGAAGAGTCCGGCGTGTTGCGTGTGTGACCCGTGACTCTGCTGCCAAGGGCGTCCCACCAAGCCACTCTTCACCGGCTCTCTCTCTCTCCTCCACTCCAGGCCTACGGCAGCTACGACGCGTGGCACACCAGCAGCCACTCCTCGACGGCCTCCTCAAAGTCGTGGGCAACGCCCCCCAAGCGGAGCCGGCTGTTCTACGCCCCGCTGATCCTGGTGGAGGAGGACAGCTCGCCGAGCCACGACTGGGAGCAGAACAGCAGCAGCCTCCCGCCCATGTCGAGGGCCCGCTGGTACATGGAAGACCAGGAGCTGCCCTACCGCACCTACGGCCAACTCCACGTGCCCGGCCCGCTCAAGCACGGCTACAACGACAAGCGGGGCAGTGCTGACAGCCTGGTGGAAGCGGTGAGTGGAGGCCAGCAGTGTGCAAGCCCACAGCCTCAGCTGAGACCGTGCCGTGCCGCTTTGAGAGCCAGTTTGGTGTAGTGGTTAAGTGTGCGGACTCTAATCTGGGAGAACCGGGTTTGATTCCCCACTCCCCCACTTGCACCTGCTGATGTGACCTTGGGTCAGTCACAAGCTCTGGCACAGCTGTCCTTGAAAAAGAGCAGTTTCTGTCAAGAGCTCTCTCAGCCCCACCCACCTCACAGGGTGTCTGTTGTGGGAAGGGGAAGGGGAAGGGGAAGGAGTTTGTCAGCCGCTCTGAGACTCCCAAGTGAAGGGCGGGGTATAAATCCGATCTCCTCCTCCTCCTCCTCCTCCTCCTCCTCCTCAATATATACGCGGCGGTCCACCTCCTCCTCCTCCTCCTCCTCCTCCTCCTCCTCCTCCTCCTCTTCTTCTTCTTCTTCTTCTTCTTCTTCTTCTTCTTCTTCTTCTTGCCGGTGGGGATGTTGGGAGTGGGTGGGATGAAAACCTTATTGAGGATCAAGAATCTGCATTCCCTCCACTTGACTCTCTTGTATCCTTCCTGCCTTTAGGGCAGGGGTCCCCAACATGGTGCCCACGGGCACCATGGTGCCCATCAACACCTTTCCTGGTGCCTACCAAGGATGGGGAAACCCCCATGGAGGAATTTGCCACTGTAAATGCCTCTGGCTTCTGTTTCTGGTTTTCCATGGCTTGTACTGATGTAGCTTCCCCAGGAGGCGCGGGTTGGGGCCCAGCAGGGCAGGTCACAGACAAGGTTGGAGAGAGGAACCAAAGTCCAGTCCAAAAGTCAGGGGTTCCAGAGAGCAGGTTTACGGAAGTCCAGTCAAGGGTCAAGGGGTTCCAGGCAGCAAGTCCAAGTCCAGTCCGAGATCAGGGGTTCCAGAAAAGCCGGTTGTCGGGTCCAGTAGCAGCAAGGTTGGTGGCTCAGTAGCAAAGTGTACTCATTGCGTCCACAAACTGCTGCTTCTCCTGGTTGAATTTATAGCCAAGTCTTAACGGGCTGAACTCCCAGCCAATTCCTCGCCAGTCATCCCAAAACTATTCATTTGTCTCTTCAGTTGACAGCTGATGACGGGCCAGAAGTCTCGCACTTCTCCTTTCTTGCAGTTCTAAGTGCCTCTGACAGTGTCTGAACTGCAAGGGTGTGGGTGAGCTAGGTGGGCTGGGAGTGGCTGCTGAAGACTTGTTTACTGCTTCAGAGCTACATGGTGTTGGCTCGGTTTCAGCTGTAGGCTGTGACTCCTGATCAGCTGGTAACCTGACCTCTCACCATTCTCCTTCCGGCTCGGAGCCAGCTGCAGCTGGCTGTTCAATTACCAGCTCAGGGCTAGCAGGTAGCTCTTTGTCTGAGAAATCTGAGCCATCACTCAGCACAGACTGACTTACAACATGACTTGTGAATTTGGACTTTAGGCCACGAAGCTTCCTCTGAAACAAACAACTCTTGCAACAATGAACCAGCTCTGCATAGCTCCCCTCTTTCTTTTCCTCCCAGGTGCTCATCTCCGAAGGCTTGGGCCTCTACGCCCGGGACCCAAAGTTCGTGGCCTTCGCCAAGCGGGAGATCGCCGATGCTTGCCACATGACCATCGACGAGATGGAGAGCGCCGCCACGGACCTCCTAAGCCGCAAGCTCCCCAGTGGTGAAAGCAGCCCCCGCGGGGGCGGCCACGTCCTGTACAGCAGCGACGGGGAGCACAGCGGGGTTGGAAGCCTCGGCCCCGTTTACAGCGATGAGGAGCCCTACCGCTCCCGCGAGGAAGAGGACTTGGGTGATGAGATGGCCTGCGTCACCTCTTTTTGACCTCAAAGTGCCCCTCTGGTGGGGCACAGAGGGACCATCATTTCAGAGAGACACCGACAACTCTGAAGCCTTTGGGCCCAAAGGACCCTGGCTCAGGGGTGAGAGCTTCTGCCTGGCATGCAGAAGGTCCCAGGTTCAATCCCCGGCATCTCCAGTTAAAAAGGACCAGGCAAGAGGTGATGAGAAAGACCTCTGCTGGAGCCCCTGGAGAGCGGCTGCCAGTCCGAGCAGACCATACTGACCTTGATGGGCCCCGGGTCGGACTCAGCCTAAGGGCAGCGTCATGTGTGGGAACCAAATGCTGCTCTCCCATTGACTGATGCAAAAAGCGCTGTTAGAAACACTCAGGTTTAGGCAAACTGCTCTGTGCTGCTCCATCTCTAGACACTGACTCTCATACTGCCGACAGTTAAAAGATCAGCAGGCTGGGAAACGGGATGTTGCCAAGGAGATGGGAGGACGTCTTTTCTATCAGAAACAATAAAACGCTGTTTGAAAGATGGGGAGGCCCTCGGCGGTTGTCTTTTCCTGGGATGCCTTGTGAAGGGGAGATCCAGTTATCCCCGAAGTGATCTTTGCTCGAAGGTCAGAAGGAACCCCTTCCTAAGGTTCTCTCGCCCGGTTTGTAGGAGAGCCAGTTTGGTGTAGTGGTGAAGTGCGCGGACTCTAATCTGGGAGAACCGGGTTAGATTCTCCACTCCTCCACTTGCAGCTGCTGGATGGCCTTGGGCAAGCCATAGTTCTGATAAGAGCTGTTCTTGAAAAAGAGCAGTTTCTGTCAGACCTCTCTCAGCCCCACCTCCCTCACAGGGTGTCTGTGGTGGGGAGGGGAAGGGAAAGGAGTTTGTAAGCCGCTCTGAGACTCCTTCGGGTAGTGAAGGGCAGGTTATAAATCCAATCTCTTCTTCTTCTTCTTTGTACGCAGAGCCCGTGGGGCAGATACTTGTGCCCTAGGAAGGGAATCCCTGTCTTTCTTAGCAAAGCAGTCCTCTAAAGTTTTCAAGTACGTCTAAACCAGGGGTTGCCAAACTTGCTTAATGTAAGAGCCACACAAAATAAATGTCAGATGTCAGAGAGCCAGAAGTCGGAAACAAACATTACACGCATATTTTTATTGGGAAATAATGTAAATTTGCTTTTTTTTTAACATTCAATGAGGCTGCCAAAAATAAAAACAAAAGGGGTAAAAACAGATATTGATCATGATATTTACTTGCCCAATGATATTTATTTGTTTGTTAATGGTATTTATTTGTCTAAGAGAGAGAGAAAGAGAGAGAGAGGTGGAAAGAAAGAATGAACGAGGTAGAGAGAAAGAGAGAGAGAGAGAGAAAGAAACAAAAAAGGCAAACAGATTGGGGGGGAGGACGGGAGGAAGAGAGAGAGAAAGAAAGATGAAAATAAATGTTTGTTAATGATATTTATTTGTCTGAGAGAGAGAGAGAGAGAGAGAGAGAATCAAAAAAGGCAAACAGATTGGGGGGGAGGACGGGAGGAAGAGAGAGAGAAAGAAAGATGAAAATAAATAATTTAAAAGTTCAAGTTTCTTTCTTTCTCTGCCCCCCTCCCACCTCAAGCCTACCCAGGGAGGGGAACACTGGCTGGGAAAGGGAAGACCGATCCCCAGCCGCCCTGCCGGGAGCCACACAATATGTGTGTGAGAGCCACATGCGGCTCCTGAGCCACAGTTTGGCCACCCCTGGTCTAAACCCAAACCGCCTATTTATCGAGAGCCGGTTTGGTGTCGTGGTTAGGAGCAGTGTTCCCTCTAAGCTGAGTGAGTGTGAGCTAGCTCACAGTTTTTTTAGCCTCCGGCTCACACATTTTTGTCTGAGCTCAGGAAGGAGGGCTCTAGAGCAGACCGATTTATGCAGGAGCCGAATCTCTCGCCCACAGCTTTAATGCCGGTAGCTCACAAAGGAGGATTTTTGCTCACAAGACTCCACAGCTTAGAGGGAGCGTGGGTTAGGAGCGCGGATTCTAATCTGGGAGAACTGGGTTTGTTTCCCCCACATGCACCTGGCTGGAGTGACCTCGGATACGACACAGCCCTCTGGAGTTGCTGTTTGCGCAGCTGGACCCAATTCTGACCAAGGTCTGATTGCAGGCTGCATGTTCCCCTTCCTCCACTGGTACAATACAGCAGCTCTGCAGAGTCAGGAAATGGCAAGAGGGGAATGTTGAAATCCCCTCCTCTGAGTGACAATCCCAAATGGAACTGGGGTGGGGAGGGGGGCTATGCCTAAATTAGGAGGAAGGTTGGGAAATCTTTTGTTCCAGAAGTTTAGCGGCTGTCACTGAAGAATGACTTGGGGGGGGGTAGGTTCCCCCTTGCCCCCCCCCAGTGGGAGTTCAAGAGGTAGGGTTGCCAGATCCAGATTGGGAAACTCCTGGAGGTTTGGGGCTGGAGCCTGAGGAGGACGGAGACCTCAGTGGGGTACAAGGCCACAGAGGCCCCCCCCTTTAAAGCGCCCATTTCCTCCAGGGGAACTGATCTCTGTACTCTGGAGATGAGCTGGAATAGCAGGAGATCCCCAGGCCCCACCTGGAGGCTGGCATCCCTGACGCTCAGTGGGGCACAAGGCCACAGAGTCCACCCTCCAAAGCAGCCGTTTCCTCCAGGGGAAACTGATCTCTGCAGTCTGGAGATGAGCTGGAATTCCGGGGATCCCCAGGCCCCACCTGGAGGCTGGCATCCCTGAACCTCAGTGGGGCACAATGTCACAGAGTCCACCATCCAAAGCAGCCATTTTCTCCAGGGGAGACTGATCTCTGTCGTCTGGAGATGAGCTGGAATTCCGGGGGATCCCCATGTCCCACCTGGGGGCTGGCATCCCTAGGGGTAACCTTCTTGTTCATAAGCAGAGGTGTTAGGCTGGGATGTGGTGTTCATATGATATTCGGAAGATCCTTTTGGAATTATTTGTACCTCCTACCAGGGCCAGTTCCAGGTTCTGAAGGGCCCCGGGCAGACAGCGCTCAGACTCATCACCGCCACCCCCAGGAGCCCCAGCCACACCTCCATTTCTGCCCCCACCCATATTCCCCACATCTGCCTGTGCCTCCTTCCCCTGCCTGCTCACAAATCCCTCCCATCTCCCAAGCCCAGAGGCCCCCACACACACGCTCTTTCAGACCTGTAGCTAGGATTTTGTGGCTTGTGGGGCAAAGTGTGTTCTGATGGGGCTGAAGTTCTCAGCGCAGAAAGGCCATAGAAAGCTGTTAACCAGGGTAGATCTCTAAATTGCAAGCTGTTTGAGATGACAGTTCTCAGCTGCTGCAAGTTAATCACTTCCGCCAGCCTAAGCAGCAGTTCTGAGAACAAGCCGGCAGGTGGGGGTGTGATGACTTCTACAGTCAAGAAAGCCAACACTTAGGCAGGAAAACCCTCTTCAAGGAGACCAGTTTCTTGACAGAGAGATAGAGGGGGTCCTAGAGGTCACCTACTCCATCCCCCTTGGCTCAGTGCAGGAATTGGTCAACTACAGCACCCCACTCTGCTTAAAGGTGCCCACGCCTTTGAAAATGTTTTGAAATGATTGAAAGAAGCATTTGCAGGAGAAATTCTTCTGGGGCTGTTCCTTTAAGAAAAGGGTTAGAGCTCCCAAAAGCCCCATAGTAGATACGGGCTTACCCTCTTTCCTCAATGCCACTGGGCAGTACGTGAGTCCGGGAGCACCAGTGCTGTGGCCATAAGAAGCACTGCTTGGACCACCCCCACACTTTCCCCTGGTGATGCTGGGCGGCCCAGGTAGCCAGGAGGCACCAGAGGGGGAGGGCCTGCCACTCAATAAGCAAAGGAAGGGCATGCGGGCAGGGAGCCGTGGGGCCCCCAGCAGGCCCGTAGCCAAGATTTTTTGTTCGGGGGGGGAATCTGAATTTTTAAGGGGGCAGTTAAAACACAGTCAATGAAGTTAATCTGAATCTGCTTTTAAAGGGGGAGGCTCTAAGCCTGTTTCTGGCCCTCCCTTCCAAGGCTATTTGTGGGGGGCTGAGTTTTTAATTAAGGGGGCAGTGCCCCCAAATGCCCCACTGTGGCTACGGGCCTGGCCCCCAGAATCCCTGGGCCCCGAGAGATGCCCCACCTGACGGGATGCTGAACAGTGGCCTCGCCTCCGACCAGTGTCCACGCCCTGTCCCTCCACACCATCCACGGGTAGTCACCAACCTCGGGAGCTCGGTCTCCATAGTTATAGCTCACCCCCGCCTTTCAGGTCACACCGCACACTGTCCTCGTTTTCCCTGCCTGACCCGGATTCACCCGCTCGCTGACAACTCTTAAGTCTCCTCCATCTGTACAAGGTCCATCAGCCGTACCAGACAGCGGCTGATTCCTGCCACGGAGTGTCAAATCGGTGCAGTGCTCCGGTGGGAAGAGGATCATGGCCACAGGGCTACCTTGAGTGACCCTAGTTCAGATCTGCCTCCATTCTGAGGTTGCCTCCAGAATCCCAGTGCCTGCTCCCCTGTGAGACTGGCTATCTTTCGAGGCCTTACGGGAGCAGGCAAACCACTCTTGTCTTGCGGCGGCCAATCTGATGTCACTTCCTGCGCTCCATTGTCTACATTCAGATGGGCCAGCTGGGCCACAGCACAGGAGGGCCGCGGCTCAGTGGTAGAGCCTCCTCTATTGGCGTGCAGAAGGTCCCAGGTTCAATCCCCGGCACCAGGCAGGAGGGGATGGAGAGCAGCTGCCAGTCCAAGTAGACAATACAGGCCTTGATGGACCAGGGGTCTGACTCAGTAGAAGGCAGCTTCATGGGTTCACGTGAGCTGACTCCATCTTTAATATTTATTCAGTCCCCAGCATCTCCAGTTAATAAAAGGACCAGATAGGAGGTGATGTGAAAGACCTCTGCCTGAGACCCTGGCTCAGTGGAAGAGCCTCTGCTTGGCATGCAGGAGGTCCCAGGTTCAACCCCCGGCATCTCCAGTTCAAAGGACCAGGCAGGAGGTGATGAGAAAGTCCTTAACTTGAGACCCTGGCTCAGTGGCAGAGC